AGCCTAAAGGATTGGTGGTTTCAAAATCATCATAATGGGAGCAGAATTTGAAGAGCATACCTATGCTGTGAGAATAAAGAACCATTTTGGAAATATGAGCCATCATTAATGTCCTGGTAAAAAAGGATCGTTTAATTGAACAAATTAGTGCTCGATTTTCTTATAAGTCTGAACTCTTTGTTTCAGGAGAAAAGGCTGTTAAAACTTCCTCTCGTGCTTGGCTTTGAACATCATTAATAACTTCTTCCATAGACCAAACTATTGTTTCAACTATACTTCAACTGAGACCTGATGCTGGTAAGTGTGCAACAATTGAACCTCACACCGATGCCATCTGATCCGTAGTGGTTTTGTGGTGTAGAAAGTGGAACATGTAAAGTGTCAACAATATCTGTAACATACTGGCCAATCACTTGAAACTTCCTCCTCTTGTCTTCCTTGCGTGTTGACATCCTGGCTTGTTGGTCCACAGAGTGTATATGAACAGTGTTGAGATGCTTCCTGAAGCCATTGTATGTACAAAAAAATAAAGGGCATCCTGGTTCCCCACATTTTAGATGTAATGTTTTGCCAGGATGAAACTTTAAGTGCTGACAAAGGTGAAAATAATTTTCATGGTGCACTTTACAAACAAAACACATCCCTGGAGGATTAGGGGTTAGGCCACAGCATTCTCACCATTGCAGCCTGGGTTTGATTCCCAGCCAGGGAACCAACCCCAGCCACTAGGGTTGCGTGCAACAGTGCGCTCTTAGGTTGCGTCAGGAAGGGCAACTGGTGGGAGCAGCTGAAAGAGGAACAACAATAACAACTTTACAAACAAAACAGGTAAACTTCTCTCAACTAAGGATCAAAGACATGCTTTAATTTCCTTGACACGTGGTCTCTCCTTTGCCCTTCCAGCGTCAATGTTATAGATTGTGGTCTGCACAAATGTATAAAAATTGCAAAGAGCTCCATCACAGAAGAGACTGAAGACATGGTGAGCTTTAAACAGCCCATCAAAAGCTGCCACTGATGTCTGAGCCTTGCATGGGATAGCCTTTTGGTCAAGGATGATGCGGAACCTTCTGATTTTGTTCTTTTGCTCACCAGTGCAGAGGAGGTAGGGTTGCCTCGCTTCAGCTTGCTCGAGGAAGGTAGTGAGACTGGCTCCTTCCTGTGGCCCTAGGGCAAATGATGTTAAGATTAGTTCAAGTAGTGTATATTCAAGCAACAAAATAATTTTTTTCTGTTAAATGGCACAAACAAAATTTACATTCCCTTTTAATTAAAAATTAGCTGCAGCTCATAAATTCCTAAAGATATTTATTTCTGACACAGAACCAAATTCAGGTTTCTACAGAAACTAACCTTGACATACCTTAAGATATGCCTTAAGATACAAGACTGTTTGCAGCTTGAGCCGAACTGATCGTCGCTGTTTTTTTATGCCCTCTTGACTTTGGGGAGAGAAGATGCAACAGCAAGAGAATTGATGAAATTTCACCATCCCATCCTAGGGACAAACTGTACATGTTATCCAAATAAAAGTAGGAGTAAAAGGCAAGAATACATCAATTTCTGAAATTAAGTTTTAAAACAGATCAAAGCTGTTCTCAGGTTCAGGCTGAAGTGCTGAAAGCAGCTCCTCAAAATACGCATTCTGGGAGAGACTCCTGCAGTCAGCAACAACTTTAGGCTTGAAATATGTAGGCCACTTCACCAGAATTTTCCAGACATCTCATCTCCAAACATCATGGAGAAATTCTACTCAGCACTCTAATGCATGAGAATTAATTAATAAACACTCACATATTCGTTTTTAGAATATAGATCTTGTAGATATGGAAAAAGAGTCACGATTCACAATGCATGATTAGTTCGTACACTTGATGGTGGAACCCTCCTTAGAAAACATCACAAGCATTACAAGCAATTTTCAGTGCTTGAATCCATAATCATTTTAGACAAGTGCAGGTTTTAAATAATGTTTAAGTACAGATTTTTATGAATTCTTACCCATGTGACTCTACTTTCACTTCTGCCACCAGAATGTTAACCGTCAGTTTTCGTTTTGCATCTGTTAGTGTTTTGGTTTTATCATGCTCCAGGAAGATTCCTTCACCTTTTGGATTATCCTTCAGAACAGTATCAACCATCTGCCAGAATAGTACAACATAATGGCATGGAGCCAGAAGACATAACGTTTATAGCCCACAAAGCGCACACTTATGTTAGCACATAGAGGATTGATAAGAGAACAGTATGTTA